CCCGAGCGGGGCCCTGGCTTTCGCCCCAGGAGCGCATGCCTCACGGGAGGGGAGCGGGGGCTGGGTCGGTCTCGCCGCGGCCTCCGTGGGGCTCGGTGCCTTTGGTGATGCGTAACACTGAGGAAATGCCTGAATTGCCGTAGTGATCCGTTACCTGTGTGTGAAGAAAGGAAACCCAGAAATAGTCGTTAACTCTTGCTCTCCCGTTGATACGTCCCGCACAGTCATGGGGAGAACGTGAGCTGATCGGCTCCGTACCTCGTGGTTTGAAAACTTCTTTGAGAGAAAATGCTCTCACCGAAATTATTTCAGCTTTGTTAAATAGGCTGGAGGATGTATGTTTTTAAGTACGCAGAAAATAAAGCATTCAATGTATAACTTGTAACACTTTAATATAAAGTAGTATTTTGTAATTTTGCGCGGCCAGTAAAAATGCTGTGTTAATTTGGTATCCTGACTACTTCTGATGTAGCTGTTTATTTGTGTATTAGGAAGATGTTTGATAAGCCAAACAGCAGCGCCTTTCATGCCATTGTCCTCTTCTTATTTACTAAGCTGGATCCATCCCGCACAGCACGAGTTTTCGGGTAAGTATTTGGCTTGTGAGGTTACTGCTGTGCACATAGTCAAGAATATGGTTTATGAAGTTGCTGAGGGGGGAAGAAGGTGGTGTCTTGGGGAATGTTGTGGAAAAAGAACATACAGTCAGAGAATTTGTTTCCTCTTGATCATAACTCTGTAATGTGTCAGAAACCTTGCCTTAATTACAGTTATTCTGCTAGTATCTGTGCCTTGAAGAGTTTGGCAAAAACTTTCATAGCTGCAAAGTAATCTACCTTTCCCATTCATTTCCCTGACCAAACAGCAAGTAACATTTCCCAGTTGTGGATTGCTGCCACAATCTTCAACATGGCAAGAACCCTGTCTTCCTTAATGTTTTTCCTTGTATAGCTGAGCTATTTTAGCTTACACATTAAAGAAATCACTAGAGGAAGACCAGTGATAGGGAAATTGTCAGAATTCTGACCCTTTTTTTTTTTCCTCTTTCTCCTGAGTTAAAAATAGCTGCAGACAAATCTGTCTCTGAAATAGTCTGTAATTAACATATTATGGCAAGAAAACCTTGCCATTTAACAAACTTTTAGCTGTTCTTGGTCTTGGCTCTATCCCCTCATTTTCTGGCTCCTCCAGGAGGCATTACTAAGAAATCTTTGTCTTAGTCTTGTTCTTATAATGGTTATTTAGGCAACTGAATATCTGAACATGTTTTGAAATTGCTTTTGCCTTTTTTTTTTATCCCTTCTTTTTCCCCATCCTTTTTAAATGGAAAGACGCTATTCCTTTGCACTAGGAAGCTGCACAGATCCTGGATTTAGGAAGCAGTGCTCTATATGGCTAAAAGATATTGCAGTGAGTATTATGAAGAGTGAAAACTGATGCTCTGCTGGTTTCTGTGATCTTATTCTTTTTTTGAGAGAATATGTAGTGCTTTTAAATAAGAGTTTTAAATAAGGTTGTCGTACCAAAGAATTCAGTTTTACCTTGTGTCTTATTTCACATAGTTTATCTTAGACTTGTTTGAGTTAAAAATTGTGGCATGGTGGAATTTAGATGATGGAGAGTTAATATTGGGTGTTCAAAACTGCTGTGGCTTGCTTCTGAATAGTGGTATTTGATTAAACAGAAGCCTAGAGGGTTCCTTACCTCTGGGTGAGAATAATTTTCTTCAGCTTGAGAGATCTTTGCTTAAGTTGCCTGGGAAGGTGTTTATTATTGTGAAGTGGTTTCAGATGCATGAAAAACTTTTTTTAACATTAGTCTTTCCTTATATATGGGGAAAGGGACTAAAGTTTAAGGTGAGCTTTCTAAAGGAAAAGAGTCAAACCAAAATTGACTGCTTCGGGGATTGTCAGTTATTATGTTATCTTCTCATGCTGCCTTTGTTTTAATGATAGTTCTAGAAATCAGGTCTTTATGTACTTTTGTTTTTTAGTAGTAATGGACAAGGTGAAAGCCAACAATGCAAGATCTTTGAGTCAGATAAAAGCAGAACAAAGTACACTGATTAATGACTTCAGCAGAAAATATGAAAGAAAACATGAATGTTTTTTCAAGGGTAGGGATTACCAGTTAGGAGTGAGGAGGGCAGAAATTTCTAACATTTACCAAACACTGATTTTGGTCTTTGCATTGAAACTGGCTTTTGCGTACAGAACTAGGGATGGGGGCGGGGGGGGCGCGGGGAGAACATTCAAAAAGTTCTTCTCTCCTCTGCTGTCTATAGTAGATGTTAACTGTGGTGGCAAAGTAGTTTAGCTTTGCACCAAGCTTGCTAGCAGATAGTCTTCACTGTTTTGATACTCAGCTAGATGTTTGATGGCTGTTGTTTCAGCTTTATTTCTTAGATTAGTTTTGTGTTTAAAACCAGTTTAACTTTTCCAGAAGGAAAACAAAGTCTATATTCCACGATTTGCACCTTCTTCATTTATTTCTCCTGTTGGTCCTAAAATTATTCACCTATTGTATTGGTTTACAAGATACGTAGCGGTTGAAGACATGAAAAAAAACTCCACAGGTAAGCTGTAATAGAACAATAAAAATGCTTCATTTGTCATATTTGACAGTGAATCTGTCAAGTATTTAATATATGCCAAGAGCTTTAAGTAGTTCTGAGTTGGCTGCTCAGTTCAAAATCTTTCAGTGTTCTGTGCACTTGCATAGCGCTACTGCTGGTAGAACAGTGCAGATTGCTTTGCATTCTGTTGCTTTGTGGGTCTTGCTCCAAGGTTTGTCTGTGTAATGCTGTATACCGTTACCCACACAAGCAATGGTTTGGTCCAAAAGTACTGGACCACTATACTGTACAATACTGTACTCTTTCTCACAACTTGAGGAATTCTGAGGGATTAGAACTGTATATTCCAAGCGTCTTGTATTGTTTTGGTACTCTAAAGAACAGGGAAAGGGAGTGAGGGTGAGGGAATGAAAATGTATACAACAGAAAGAACTGGCAAAAAAGACAGTACACTGCATACTCTATTTCAGTCCAGGTACAATGGGCGTCTTGATTTGCGATTCTTTAAATTCAAACTAGGTAGATTAGGAAGTTGTTTATTTGCTAAAAGTGAACGATGTAATCCAAACATTAACTTTTATTTAGGTACTGATATACCTTTTGCTGAAGCTGTAAAGTTGAGACCTAAGGATAGATACATGGCAGATGCAAGACGTAGAGTTGCATACAATAAACTTCTGCAAATTTTTCAAAAGCAAGATTTTGTTACTCAAGAATATGAGAAAAAAGCACAGTAAGTAATGCATTTAAAGAAACTGAGTCTTTTCATGAAAGCTGACTTTTGTATGCGTGGTTTTTTTAAAAGGATTTGAAGAGGCTGCATCTGCTTTACATCATGAGTTCTGTTGAGCTTCCCATTTTTTCCCCCTTTTCCTCCTTTAATTGACAGTTCTACTGTTTGTAGGGTCTTTTGTGAAGCATAGTAGTCTAAAGAAATTAGTTCTTCAGTTAGGAGAGGCTATATTTTGGAAGATATAGTTACTAAGGCATTAAAAGTGATCAGGGAATTCTGCATGTATAGCACTATGATTTCTTAACATTTGAAGGGTCGTATCTTGGAATATAACTGTCTCAGGATGAAACATTTGGTCTTTGCTTAATCGCTGTGGGACACATCTTATGTATTTAATCCTTCATTATTTCACCAAAATTATGCTGTTCTTTATTCTTGTGTATGGAAAACATTCCCAGTTTGAGAAACAAGAATAACTGGAACTTTCTGTGCGGGCACAGAGTTATAAATCATTGGAATTTACAGAATTTGGGTGGGATACTTTACATGACTGGAGCACTGTCACAGACAGTTGGAAGCTGTTCAGTAAATGGAAAAAAAGGAGGAGGGGGAGGAGTTGCACTGTAGGTAAAAGAGCATTTTAGTGCATGTAGCATAGCTCCATACAAGAGGAATAGTTTGTTTCATGCCTTTGGATCAAGATCAGAGGGTTTAGCATCAAGGGAGACCTCATGGTGGATGACTGCTATACACCTCTTCCTCTATACCAGGAAAGATAGAAGGCTAGCTAAAGGGGTGACCCCAAAGGATGGTAGTGCCTCAGAGTTTGAGTGGAGTTCCTCTGGGGTTGATACTGGGTCTTGTGCTATTCCTTGTCTTCGTCAGGGATATGGATGACAGGATTGAATGTAAACCCATCAAACTTGTAGATGATGCCAAACTGTGAGGAAAGGTAGAAATACTGGAATGAAGGGCTGTTACACAGAGAGACCTTGCTGGGTTTGGAGATTTGCCCAACAAGAATTATGTGAGGTTTAACAAAGATCAGTGTGAAGTCCTGCACCTGGGATGGAATAACACTCAACAGCAGTACAGGCTTGTGGGTGATTGGCTGGGGAGCAGCTCTGCTAAGAAGAACCAGAGGTGAGAGTAGTGTTGAACGACAAGCTGAGCACAAGTCAGCAGTGTGCTCTGGTAGTGCAGAAGACCAACAGCCTCCTAAGCTGTATGAAAAGGAGTGCAGCCAGCAGATCAAGAGATGTATTTCACTCTACCTGGCAATTCTAAGGCCACATCTGAATACTGGGTTCAGTTTTGGTCCCCTGTCCTTGTTTCGGCTGGGATAATTTTCTTCCTAGTGGCTGGCATGGTGCTATGTTTTGGATTTAGGATGAGAAGAATGTTGATAACACACTGATGTTTTAGTTGTTGCTAAGTACTGCTTATGCTAGTCAAGGACTTTTCAGCTTCCCATGCTCTGCCAGGTGCACAAGAAGCTGGGAGGGGGCACAGCCAAGATAGTTGATACAAACTGACCAAAGGGATATTCTGTACCATATGATGTCATGCTCAGTATATAAACTGGGGGACTTGGCTGGGGGGCAGCGCTTACTGCTCGAGAATTGTCTGGGTATCAGTTGGCAGGTGGTGAGCAATTGCATTGTGCATCGCTTGCTTTGTATATTATTATTACTATTATATTGTTATTATTATTACTGCTATTTTACTTTATTTCAATTATTAAACTGTTCTTATCTCAGCCCAGGAGTTTTCTCACCCTTACTCCTCCGATTCCCTCCCCCATCCCACCAGGGCAGGGGCAGTGAGCAAGCAGCTGCGTGGTGCTTAGTTCCTGGCTGGGGTTAAACCATGATATACTCCAGTGGAGGAGAGAGATTGAAAGATAGGAGAGATTGTAGCGGAGGACCACAATGATTAGAGGGTTGGAGAACTTCACGCACATGAGTAAAAGCTGTTTAGCCTAAGGAAGACAAATCTCAGGGGGTTTAGTCACAATCTTGCAATATCTAGAAAGTAGTTGTAGAAAAGGTGGAGGTACTCTCTTCACAAGGATGTATGGTGACAGGACAAGAGGCGACAGGCCCAAGGTGCTTAAGGGAAGACTCCATCTGTATGAAAAAAAAAAATTTAAAAATCTCGTGTGAGAACAATTAAACACTGGAATAGGTTGCTCAGAAAAGTGGTGGAATCTTTCTTGCTGGGATCATCCAAGGCTTGGCTTGACAGGACCACGAGTGACGTAGTTGAAGGCTCTGCTTTCAGTGGAAGGCTCAACAGTATAATTTCCAGAGGTCAAAGTCTCCTGAACTTCGCTGCTTTCTATAGTTCTGCATCTCCTCTCACACTGCTTGGAAAGTGTTAGTGCTCTTGCTTACCTTGTGAGTGGTACCTTTCAAAAATGTAATTCTCTGTAGCTTTTTCATTCTCAACAAGGCATCGGAACTCTGAAGATCCTTTAGAATTCAGCATGATTCAGGCACCCAGTGTTCCTGAAAATCAGGTCACTCTGTTTTTACATGCTTAAAAATTTAATAAAAGTGCTTTGGCAAAAGAACTTTGGTGGTCCAGCTGCTTGTAATCCAGTATTATGTTCTCTCGTTTTTTGAAAGTGAGGGATTTGGGTACTGTAAAATTGGTGAATATATTTGGAGGTTTATATTCACAGAATCATAGAATCATTTAGGTTGGAAAAGACCTTTAAGATCATCCAGTCCAACCATTAACCTAACATTACTAAGTCTACCGCTAAACCAATTAAGAGCAGAGTAGCAATTTTGTGTTTCCTGGCTTGGTGGCTGCCTTATTTCTAATGAAAGTAAAAACTAGGAATCATTAATGTTGGAAAGGGTCTCTAAGATCACCAGTCCAACCATCAACCCAACACCATGTCCACTAAACCATGTCCCAAAGTGCCATGTCTACCCATTTTTTTGAACTCTTCCAGGGATAGTGACTGCACCATCTCTCTGGGCAGCCTGTTCCAATGCTTGACTACCCTTTCCATGAAGAAATTTTTCCTAATATCCAATCTAAACCTCCCTTGACACAGCTTGAGCCCGTTTCCTCTTGTCCTGTCGTTAACTACTTGGGAGAAGAGCCCAACACCCACCTCACTGCAACCTCCTTTCAAGTAGTTGTAGAGAGCGATAAGGTCTCCCCTCAGCCTCCTCCAGACTAAACAACCCCAGTTCCCTCAGCCGCTCCTCATAAGACTTGTGTTCCAGACCCTTCACCAGCTTCGTTGCCCTATATTGATAGAATACATTTCTAGTAACTTCATTGTTTTTCTTGGGTCTAACAAAAGCTGTTCATTGCAGTAGAATAAATGACAGCTTAATTGCTCAATTTACAGATATTTTAGTGGCTTTCTGGGCTGTCTTTCTGCACAAAGTCATGGTAAGGAAGTCAAGGATAAGGGTTTGGTTGTGTGGGCTTGTGTGGGGGTTGTTTTTGTTTTCTTTTTTTTTTTTTTTCAATCATTCCAAAACTGCCTCAGTATGCAGATTTGGCAAGCATGAGCATGATTGGTTAATGATTGTAAGGAATTCTGAGAATAGCAGAGTAGAAACTTGGATTTTTTTAAAAATCTGTGGTAACTGTTAACTTTTTTCCTAGGCTTTTAAGTAAAGAAATACAACAGATAAAGTCTGAATATGCAGTCCTTCAGACACAGTCTTGTCAGTAAGTGTTTTTCCTTGTTACTAAGTTAGCATATATAAAATCTATTTCTTACTCAATTTTATGAAATATGAACTATAATTTCGTTGTAGTCCACTTGAACTTCTGTTTTGCATGTGCATATAGGATGAAACAAAATGACCGAAACAAAAATGACAGAACTGAGAGAATTCAAAAGGTGAGCAATTTCTTTTTCTGCTGTGGCAGCATACGGTATTTCTTCTTACATTTCTGCAATGCTTACTCTCAGATACTGTTGTTTCCACTTGTCTACCTGTGATTATGCGAGCCCCTTCATCTGCCTTTTTTGTGTTCTAATACTCTGTCACTATAGGTGGCAAACATTTTAACGTAGCATTTTTATCCTTCTTGCCTATTAAGGTCCGCAGTATGTGGACAGTTATAATGGAAATGCTTACATCTCTGAAAAAGGAAAAGGAAATTGTGGATTCTGTACTTGATGCACTTGAAGGTTGTGTTGGTCAGTGCATTTTAGATGGAACTAATGTTATTGTCAGTGTTCCACCACTGTTGGTTCACAGAGTTGAACGTGACATACACCAAGTAAGTAAGTTTTGTCCTTCTTGCTAAACTGTATTTTTATTTTAGACCCCAGGGGTGTAATTAGATGCCTTAAAAAAGAAAAGTACTTCACAGGTGGTAAGACATGATTGCTCAAGGTTGAAGAAAATATGTCTAATTCCTATGTAAGAGTTTGTTATGATTATGCTGCTGTTTTGTATTGGTTATGTTTCAACCATTAACTTTTTAAGTTCAATAATTACATTGTTAAGTCTGCCTGATTAGTACTTGATTTTTTTTTTTTTTTGTTTAGATGTTAAAACTAGGTTGACCAGTTTAACTACTGCTTTAATTAATGGGCTTTTGTTTCCAGTGTGTAGTATATAGTGCTGTTTAGGCCTGCCATGTCTTTTGGGCCAGTGGTTAAACAGAATACCTCATTAGTTGATGTTTTCTTAGTTAGTATTGCTTTATAGGCTGCTTTTAAGCAGCTGATTCTATAAAACAAACCTGAGGCTTAAATCTAGAGTGCATTTTTTTGAAAAATGAAACAATCAGAAACTGAATCAAAATACAAAGTGAAACTTTGTATCCCTGCTCTGACTACAGAAGATGCAACTTTCTGATATTGATGCTGTTCACTAATTCTTTTTTTTCTTGCTTGCTATACTTCAAGATTTGTACAGGAGATGTATATGAAGCTGAAAAACTGAATTTCTTAACAGTCATTCAGTTATTAAATGAAGCCCTGAGGACACTGAGGGATGAACGTTGTCAGTCTGAATTACAAGTACAACTTCAGGTCATTGAGAATAAGATTACGCTTCACAGTAAAGCACTGCAGAATTTGGAAGCAAAGAGGTAATTGCCTGGAAATTTTCTCTGGTTCCTTATCTTTAGTCTAAAGGTCATGTCTTCCTACCTCGGAGTCTTTTCTAAAGTAATATTGTTTATAGTGAGAACATGTTGGTTCAGTCTTTTTTCTTTGCCTCTGGGAAATTCACATTTGTCTTGATTTATCTATATAACTTTTAACTGAGATTCTTCTTTAGGTAACTTCAGCTTTTTGCCCTTGCTTCATTAATGTTTAGGCCTTACTCATGGAGATCTCATTTGCTAGCTGATCTGATTTTTTTTTTTTTTGTTATGTTAATCAGTTCTGGGATTTTAAAACTGTACCTGAAGCTGGCTTAGGGAAAGTTTATGTGTGTATCCCATTGTGTGTATGTACTTTAGTATAGTTCTTCCAATTCTACTGTAAGAAACATGAAGACTACCTAGCAGCTGCGTTTTAGGTTGTGAATTTCAGTTAGTTCTTAGTGCATGCACAAATGCATGAATAAGTTGATACAATCAAAGATTTTGCAGGAGAAGGGGAACACGTAATACTCTCCATCTTTATGCAGAATTGTTATCTCCACCAACAGATGTGTTATGTTCATTTTCCATGCTCATGTGTTACAGGCTAAAAATAGAGCAACAGGATTGTGTGTCAGTGAGTGGATCTCTTTCTAGCAATCAGGAAGGCTGGGAAGTGAAGTGGAAAAGCTGTCTTGGCCACTGTCCTTTTAATTTCATCTTAGGTCAGGATCCAGTAAGTAGTGTTCAATTTATCTGATTCTGGGGAAGAGAAGGGGTGAAGGTGAGAGAGGATGTACAGCTAAGTTGGTGTGTTCTATTGCAACACTTAAGCTTTATATGTAAGGTTAGGGAATTAGATAGCACAATATAGCAGAAATTGCTTTATGAAGTAGTCTTTCTTAAAGAAGATACATTTGACTTAATGACAGCTGGTGTCTTCATTTGAGATGGGGTGATGGAACCATCTTGTCAAGACAGTAGTTCAGTGTATAAGCGAGCTGATTGGTTTTGGTTTTGTCCATGTCCACCCCCGTATGGAAGTTGAACTTTTGTGTGCTATCAGTCTGAACATCCACTGAGTTCTGTTTTTCCCTTTTAAAGTGATCTGCTTGATGAATGAACAATAATTTCCATTCTGACACTCACATTGATACTGGTATCTGAGGTCCTACCCTTGCCTAGCTACCCAGCAGAGAGAGGAAAAGTTTCATGTTGAGTCTGACAGCTGGTGTGCAGAAAAGCTGTTGTAAATAATTGGCTGTTAATTGCTGTTGATATGCGGATTTTTCTTCAGCCTGCTTGTATAACTTTTTTTTTCTTTTGAAAGAAATTTGATCTGCTAAGAGCTTTGCCACCCCATACTTTTAATCTTGCAGAAGAAGATGATGATGACAATAGTGTCTTTTGTCAACGTCTACTATCAGTTTCAGGTGGGTGAACAGGAGAAGCTTCTTTTCTTTCTGCCCCCCTGCCACAACTCTTAAAAGTTAACTTGGACTTGAAAATACTCCCTGCACACATTTGCAAGTATCTTTGATAGTATCTGATAATCTGGTTCTGAATGACTCCTTGCCACGATTGCCTTACATTTTCTAACTTTGTCATATCTCAGAGATTCTCTGAAGCTTTTGATATGGCAAAAAACCAGTGCTGGAGCTGTTTGGTATTTTGTTGTTCTTGCATGAAGGATATTGAGACAGATTTCTGTGTACCAAAGTTCATTCATGGGTTCTAGAGAATACATTCACTCTGACAGTAAAAGTTTCTCCAGGTTGGAGGAGTGATAGGAAAGAGAGAAATAAGATAAAACTTTTCCCATTGGCGAGCTGGGAAAAGAAATTGAAGGTGTCCTCTCAGGTAAGCATCTTTCCCTGGTGTGTTCTGAAATACTTATTCCACAGTAACTGTGCCATTGATCAGGACTTTACTTGATCTCTGTGTTGGTTGCTTTCAGTCATTAGGTTAACAGTGCTGATGAGAGCTCACTTTGATCAGACATGGACGTTGCCCATGCTAATTGGCTGATGAGCTGATTGTATTTTACTCGATAGCGCTTATTGACCAAGTGTTGACTGTCCCTAGTGTAGAGTTATCAATTAGAAGCTAAAAAGGAAGGGGAAGAGAGCTTGAATCATATGTCATTTGCAGTCCCTTTTAGGAAAAATGACAGCAGATGTGTGTTGGAATTTCAAGCTGCAAAGCAATAGGGAGATCTTTTTGGTTACAAAGGTGAAAGCACTGCTCCAGCGGTCTGAGGGTGTGTAGGTATAAAGCTGGAAGCTGCAAAGGAAAGGCTACAAAATTGCAAATGGAAGGTCATTTGCCTTAAATTTCAAAGATTAAAGCACTGTGCAATAACGCTGTGAGCTTCTGGTGATACCAGAAAGCTTGAGACAAACTGGTGTCTGTGGCGTTCTCTCTACTCTGTGGTTAAGATACTTGATCTGAGAATCCAGCCACTAAGAACCTTCTGCCTGTTAACATGGTATGCTTTAAAAAAAAGTTAACCTCACCTAACTTCTTGAAGTGAGCTTGGATTTTGGAAGTGGTGTTGAGGTTGAATATAAAAGGAAATGCCATTTATGTTTGCAGAAGCTGAAATTTAGGGTTAGTAGAGAACTACTGAGGTTAAACTTTGGCTGTTTATGCAAATGATGTGCCCAAATAGATATTTGTTGTTCCAGAGAGTCCTGAGCTGAGGTACGTGTACCTCTGATAACATGCAAAACATTTCCTTATAGCGTACCTTGCCTTGGTTGGACTGAGGCAGAGTTGATCAGAGGGACGAGCATGTCCACAGAGATATTTATTGATAAATGCAGGTGAAGATGGTGGGGAAAACGTGTAGAATTTTGCTTTGTGGAATTGATGTGTATGTGGACGGGAGGGGATAATGATGACAAGCGGCTGGGATTGTAGTTTGGAGAGAGGTGGACTGTATGATTGATACGTGCAGGGCAGCAGATAGAATCATGCCTCTCAAACATGCGTTCATGAACAAAACGAATAGGTGCTGGCTGCTAGTGGCATCTGTGGCTGCAGGTGGTACCTGAGCAAAAGGACTGATTTCACTGTCTTGCTTATGTATTAATTTTTTTTTAAGTGTTCATAAAGTCCGTCCTGTGAATATTGTACAGAAGTGGTCTGAAGTCAGCTGTGTCACCTGGAAAGCCTGAGCAAAAAAAGTGGAAGCAATAATAAAACTCTTGACTTACTTTTCTAGATGTTTCTGACTCCGTTCATGAAGTACGTTATGAGAAAGATGGTGGGGCACTGGAAACTACAATGGATAAGTTGTCACCACCACCAGGATGGTATGATGTTAATGAGAAATTGATAAAAAAAGCAGTAGAAAAAATAGAAATTTACTTGGTGGAATTGAATATATTGCATCTCTTGATCCTTAGTCCAAGGAGCTCACTCCTTACATGTCACATCCACCTGATTTAGCAAGATAGTCCTAAAGTAACTGCTGCTTTCTCCAGCTGGTGACTGATTGATCAACTGGTTGCTGCTGAATAGGATGTACAGCAGCCAAGTTGCAAGGTTTTTATATCACTTTTCAACTATGTTCTTTCAAGTTTTAAGAGGTGGGTGGAGAAAACAGAGAATTCTGTTTCTTAGGCTGAGTTGAGGTAGACATGTATGTTCAGTGTAGCCTGAGAATAAAAGAACAGACATTCACAGGAACCCTTCTTTTGTGTTTAAGAAAAAACAACTATGAACCAAAACAAAAACCCCTGACTCCCAAGCAGAATTACTGTGCTAAACCTTCTTAACAATGCTTTTCTCATGAATTTTCTAAAGTTACAGAACTAAAGAAGTTCTGTAACTTCTCTTACTACAGTTCCAGCAAAGGATAGAACAGAAAACAATGGTATTCTAAAAAGTTTTGGCCTGTTTGTCATTTAATCAGTCCAGGAAGGTTTTGTGACCTTTTGAATAACACTGTATTTCATAATATGACTCCTACAGATACTTGAAAGTTGCCTTCTAGGAGAGAAAGGGAGTTAGCAAAGGAAGGCTGTCCTATACTTAGACATCAGTAGATGTAGTTGCATATAAGTCTCACAGGTTGTCCAAGTAGTTAACAACTAAAACCTGGATTTCTCCTGGTGGCTTCATACAGCACGGATTTTTGTCTGCTTCTGATTGTAAAGACAGTAAATATTAACATTTTATGGTGTGTTCTTCCGAACAAGTGAGAACTGTACCTTACATTTCAGAGAGCTATGCAATTAGCACTATGCTTATCAGAAGTGATGACTCAAGTTTTTGGTAGCCAGGTGATCATTAAATGTCAGTAAGTTCATGTAGGAACAGACCTGTGGATAGCAATTCAGAGGAAGAGTATCTAGGGAAAAGAACATTATCAAGTCTACAGAAGACTTTCCAGTTACCTTTGCAGAATACAGAAGATTTGTTTTACAAAATGTATCGCAAAATCCCTTCTTTTTCTGTTTGGTAATCAAGGGAAAAGTTTCATAACTTATTAATTTTGGGAGGCTGATACACAACTAGGGCTAAATCTGCTCTAATTGTCACATGTTCTCCCTATAGTAAAATTGCCTTCTGATGACCGGGACGAATTGAGGGAAATCGTAACGGACAGATACGGGGCACACAATATGTAATGGCCTACTAAGACTTGCATGCCACTTGTTTAATTTGTCTCTAAAACATAGTTTTGTTTTGTTTTTTTTCTCTTTATCCTCCCCGCCCCCGCCAAGGTTCTCTTCAGTGCCTTTGGAGTGGTCAAAAGCATCTGACAACAGAGACATGTTAATTGAAAAGGTTATTCTTCAGTGATTTCCTACCTGTCAAAGAAGTTAATCTTATGCTAATTGCTTTTTACATTGATTGAAGCCTAGACTTAGTATTTGGGGGGGGAGGGTTGTGGGTTTTTGGGTTTGTTTGGGTTTTTTTAAAGTAGTATTTTTATGCATCTGAATCAGTCCTTTAAAACTGTAAAAGCTAACTGCCAGGGACTTCGTTAAGCCTTAGGAAAGGACAGTAGCAAGTAGGTGCACTTGCAGCTGACTTCCAGTACAACGTACAGCATGTCACTGATTCACTGCTTGTTGAAACAGTGGTTTTGGTCTGAGCAGTGGTCAGACTTTGTTTCTTTAAGTTGTGTGTGAACTTAAGGCTTATAATGTGGCCTAAAAGCAACTTGCATGTACAGTTGTCTGGTGCGCAATTGTTCACTGTAGTGTGTTCAAGGTAGCTGCAGATAAGTTATCTGTTTTCTATGCAACACCCTATCCTGGCCACTACTTAATGTCCTACTTTAAATACAATTGTAAAAATATTTTGTGTTTAGTTAGAATTTAAGACTGAAATATTTTTATTGCCTAAACTCTAAGGCCATTGCTGTTCAGAATTTGTACAGCGGTTTCTTCATGCTAATTTTCTGACCTCTGAGTTTAAAACTTCTAATAATTCCTGTGTATTCTTCTAGAACTTGCATATTGAAACTCACAAGGGGAAAAAAAAGCCTGTGCCTCCAAAGATCTTAAAAAATGGAAAGGATGAGTCTGCCATTTCAGAAGTGTGGGAGAATGCAGGTGATCATGTTATCCAGGCAGAGTCTCCTGTCAAAAAAGAAGACCCTCTTAAGAAAGCCAGTGATGAACTGGCAGAAGAGGTTGGGAAAAATTATTTTTAAATTTTATGTTTGTTTTTAAATAAATGGTCATTAATTTCAGAGACCAAATTACTAATTATATTATAAAATGCCTCTTCTAATCTGCATACATCAAAAGTTACTTTTTTCTGCTAGATAGTAATCAGTGTCCCTGAGTTTTAGGGATGACTGCCCAATTAAGTACACCCTGAAAGTATGGAGCTTGTGTAGTTGTCATACTTACAAATCATGGTGAAGTGAATAGCACTCTTGAGTAGAATCATGGTATGATTTCCATCACATCTCATACTTTAATCTATGAACCAATGCATATATTAAGAATTCATCAGTCCTTTTTGTTTCTGAAGTTATGCAGGTTAAATATTTAATAGGAGCTTGGGAATTTTAAGCAGGAATTTAAGTATTTCCCCTTTTAGGTATGTTGTTTGAGATTTAACTGAGGAATTGGTTCACAAGAGTTACTGTGAAGTGTGCCACTGCTTGATTTGAAAAGTAAATTGCATCTTTCACTGAAATAGTACAGTTATTTTTCATCTGCTAAAATGTTTTACTTATGTAAATATAGCTGTAGTCTTCATGCTTATGCAGTTCTTGACTGGTGTCTTAAATATATTCTATCTGAGAACATTTTCTTACTTTAAAGATGGATTCATAGATGATGAGGGAACTTAGAAATGAATTCTGATTTCAGTACCCTATCTTCATTTTGTGTTTGTGGACACTGTGGTCATTTTGAGCCTAAGTAGTAAATGGCAGAAGAAGAGTCAGGAGATTCAAACTCTTCAGATCATTTGGAGAATGGGATTTATTTTGAGCTATAACTGACAGAAATAAAGAGGTTATAATTCTGCTTTCTCAGGATTTGCCCTTCTCTATAACATCCTACAGGTTGCAAGAACAGTGGTATCTGAGTCACCTCAGAGTGGTGAAGAAAAAGGAATGGCATTAGAAGATCTCCTTAGCTCACTGGCTTTAAACCCATTTGTAACAAGGAAACAAATTCCCCGAACTCCAGAAAATCTGCGTAAGTCTAAAACTCTCTTTTTATAATACTCATTGATAGGAATGTGATTAGTTCATTGACATTGTACACATCACACAAGATAATTATTTCAGTTAAGTTGCAAGTCATCATAATGGTTCACTCTGTAACACAACATAGTAGGCCTAATAAGATGTAGGCCTAATAAGATGTGAATACTGTGAATTTGATTTAACATGGATGTTTTTCCTGTGTAGAATCCCCTTTGTGTTGAGGAAGAAAAGTAAGCATAAACAATATAAAGCAGCTATACGTCTTCCTTCTTCGATTGCTTATGTTACTGAAAGGACAGAAGAAAAACGGATTGAGAGTGTGAAAGTACTGAAATTTTACCTTGATTTGTTCCATTTAGTTACTGAAATTAGAAGCTCATGGAGAAAAGCTATTAAGACTGAGGTCTCATCAGACATAGAGCTGGCCCCAACTGAACTAATGATAGAAGAAGCTCCAAAGGATGCTACACCTATAATGCAGAAGGTGGCAGACTGTATGTGCTCTACCCTTGCATCTCCTGTACCTGATGCTGATCCTCCCTTGTCAGAAAGTAAGTCCCAATTAAGTTCTACAGAGTTTAGACCTCAAGAGCAGATGAGGATAAGTCGTGTTGTTGAATCTCCAATTTTGGAAACACCTGGAATGCAGGAAAGTGAGACAACTGAAGAACAGGAATTAAAATGTGTTGTTTTGAATGGAAGTTCTGTAGAAGATACAGAGGAACAGACTTCTCAATGTGTAAAGAAGAGCATAAATACTCCAGATGTTTGTTCAGAAAATAATAGTAGAACAAAAGTTCTATCTTCAGACCACTTTCAGGGTTCCTTAATGGAGGGGAAGCTGCACTGGAATGTATCTCCATTGTTAAGTTCTATCCATTGTGAAGCTGCCTGCTTGACGATAGTGGATGAGACACTTCCAGAAGAAATTGATAACATAGATTCCAACAAATCTGCAAGGTCAGAGTCTGATTTTGATATAATGGACAGCATGTATGTAACAAGTAGTTCAAAAAATGAGGGGGATATTAAAAAATCAAAGCTAGATCTACAGTCCCTGTTCAACACATATAAAGCACTGGAAAAGGCTGTATCTGGAAGTGAAGAGGAGCTGCATCAAACACATAATGGAGGTGAATCTGTAAGTTGTAGATCAGACCAAAGTATTGCACCAGAAAAAAGAGAGAGAGATGAATTGTGCAGTCCTCTAGAACTCTTCTGCTTGGATGAAGAATTTACCAAGACACCATCGCCAATATCTCTTAATGAAAGAAAATATTCCCTGTCATCTTTGCTGTTATCTAGTCAACGTCTGGAGGAAATGGCATCAATGGTACACGAAATCCCATTAGACTTACTACGTAAATTGAAGGGTAAGTGTCCATGTACTTTGGCAACAAGACTTTGTCCATTCTGCCACTGGGTATACTACCATAAATAACCTATTCTGAATAGCTGAACCCTGCTGTGGAAGTGTAGGGAGATGTGGTTTAGCCCCTGGTGGCAACCAAGCACCATGCAGCTGCTCGGTCACCTTCCCCCTGCCCCTGGGGAGATGGGGGAGAGAATCGGAAGGGCAAAAGTAAGAAAGCTCGTGGGTTGAGATAAGAACACTTTAATAATTGAAATAAAAAAAAATAATAATAGTAATAAAAATTGTAATGAAAAGGAGAACAATGAGAGAGAGAAACAAAACCCAGAGGGAGGGGGGGGCAGAAAAAGCAAACAAGTGATGCAACCACTCGCCACCTGCCAGCTGATGCTCAGTCAGTCCCCGAGCAGCAATCGCTGCCCCCCAGCCAACTCCCCCCAGTTTACATAATGAGCATGATGTTATATTGTATGGAATATCCCTTTGGTCAGTTTGGATCAACTATCTTGGCTGTGCCCCCTCCCAGCTTCTTGTGCACCTGGCAGAGCATGGGAAGCTGAAAAGTCCTTGAGACTAGCATAAGCAGTACTTAGCAACAACTAAAACATCAGTGTGTTATCAGCATTATTCTCATCCTAAATCCAAAACACAGCACTATGCCAGCTACTAGGAAGAGAATTTATCCCACCCAAAACCAGGACAGGAGACAGATGATTTGTATGCTTGTTCCTTATGGAAGATGAGACATAAAACCAAAGGAAACATGCTTCCTTTTGTTGTATGAACATCTTGCAAGTAGGAGAAAATGTGCTCATCTGACTTTCTGAGGTAATCTGCAGCTATTAAAGAAAGAAAGAAAAGACTTAAGGTGCATTAGCAGTGGAGTAATCTGAAATTAAATTTTGAGAATTCACAAAGTTAGTTTGAAATAGTGTGTTTCCTCTGAACAAAGTTGGCTATTTAGTAATGTGTTGTAGGTAATTGGAACTTTTGTGAGGTCAGTCAGGTGTTCATACTCTGTAATACTTTATTAATGTACTTTTTATTGTGAAATACTCTGCATTCCAGCCTACCTTCCCTGTCACTCCATTTCCAACAGAAGTGTCAACTTTGTTTAACCAATAGCGCAGTGTTTAGTTACATGTGAGGTCAACTTTTGAAATGTATTAATAAAAATGAGCCAGTAATGGTTATACAGAAGACTTTCACAAAAACAGGTGGTATTTAATGGAGTACTAGGACTTTAACACAACAAACTAGTCTCAAGGAGTAGTGAGATTTATACTTTGTGCAAAGGCTTGCTGCAATTTAGCTTTTGCTTAAAATTGTGACTGTACTGATAGCAGATGATCTTACCTTACTTGGAACAGTTACCAAAATCAGAAGTACCAATATATGCCAAACACTTTTGGAGCAGTATTTCTGTCAATTAATTGAATATTATGGAGTGCTAACTAATACGCTTTTTCTTCCAGATGAAGAGCAATTAAATGAGAAGCCGGGCACAAAGGAACCATCATCAGGATAGAATTTGTAAAGCAGAAGCATAACCATAGTAGCGCAATTATGGTTCGCTTGAGCACGAAGCATCTTCTCCAGGCACTGCCTAGATGGAGAAGTTGGACTCCTTTCTGTTTTTTCCAGAGACTGTATTCCAGTCTCCTTGTTTTTAGTGTCCGTTGCCTGCTCTTGGTTCTTCCAATTTCCTGTCATCCATAGTAGCCTTCTATGTGCAGCCCATCATTTATGTATAGAACTATGTATTCCTTTCTAAGCATGTTTCTTTGAAATAGCAGATGTTGAGTAGGTGGCACAATCCTAGATAGAAAATGGAAAAACAAAGTGAAGTCTTTGGTGTCTACATCTTGCCCCTAATTTTGCCACCCCACTCTACTCCTTCCCCCACCCCCAAAAGCAAAAAAAAAACCCCCAACACCCAAATTTTACTTGGTGCTCTGAATTCATTGGATTCTTCTCTCTTATTGAGACTTCTAGTCGATGTTGCCATCAGTTCTAGCTGTTGACAGAGGCTGGTCTGTTTTTATGAACTTCCACTGAAGTGCCTGTTTTTGTAGATGTATTACCAAATAAATGTTTTACGTTACAGTTGTAAAAATTTATGACTTGTGGTAGTGTTAATGCCAGTTTATTTTCCAGTAGTTGATATACTTTTATGACATGGTGTAAATAACTGATGATACTGCTTGTGGTGGGATGGGAATGTAAAAGTTGATGTTCCAGGAGATAAACTTATTTTAAAAGTACTGGCCCCTAACCTGATGTGTTTGCAGTGTTTTGAATCATTGCTAAGTAAAATAGGTTTTCTGTTTTAGTGTATCTTTCTCCTTCTTTCTTCCAAAACAGTTGCAAATAGGTTTTAAGAAGAATCCCCATCTGTATTTGATATCTTCCTTATAAAGCAGAATTTGACAAGCTTTATGAAAAGAGATTTATATGGCTGATTGTGGAAGCTATAATGTGGCTGCTGACACGTTAACAGCTAGGACGGAAGTCCTTCTTAGTAGCCCATTTACATGTTGATCTAATCATGGTCAAGCAGCTAGAGAATTGGGAGGTCTGACCTTAGCTATCTGTCTAGAACTCTAGAGCTCAGTGCTGATGACTTCACAAAGGTTCCCCAGGTGACTGTCAAGGCTTTCATGCCCTGGTCAGAAGAGGCTTGAAAGCAGGACTTGAAAGCTCTGGTTGGGATGCCACCAGAGGAACCTGGGCATGCTGCCCCAGGAAGGAGCTGGTCAGCTGGGATGTGTAGTGCAGTCTGTACCAGTGTCGTGTGCTCTGTCCCTGCTTCTGGATGTTCCTAGATCTTCTTCTGACATAATTGTCTCCAGGGACTGCTGCTGAAGAGTGGGGTTTTTTGTTTGTCTCTTTTTTTGTTTTGTTTTGGTTTTTTTTGGGTTTTTTTTGTTTTGTTTTTTGTTCTGCAATAGAACATCTGCCAGGAAAGACCTGAACTGTAACTGTTTTTCTAAGCAAACATGTCTCCTGTATCACCTGTGCCTTTGCATGTTGTTCCATCCTTGAAGAAGTGCATTTGTCAGCTCTGCTCCTGTGGGTATGTAAAAGAGGCTGGGGGAAGGAAGCTGGACTAGTGGTTATTTGGCTAGCAGGCTGCACTGCTATTTGCTACTATAAGTTGCATTTGAAAAATTATAAATAAAGGTATCTTAAAGCATTTTTAAAGCTTTAAAACAGGAAGTATTTTTACCCTATTCTGCGTATTCAACCACGTGGTTCCTGTTTTTGTCATAGGAGTAAACAAATGGCAGGGGGGCTTCCCATTTTTCTTATGTAGGTGGATTGCATCTCTAAGAGGAGAGCTTTCCACTTTTTGGCCACAAACTTGCTTTCAAATGGGTGTTACTGGCTTTGAGTCTGTGTTTTAATGTAATACAAAATGGTACTCCTCTGTAAATGTGCTAATTCTGGAAAAGATAGAGGGGTAGAGCCTTACAAATGGAAGAGACAACTGAAAGTACCAATATTCGTTAGCGGTTTTGTTAGTGTTAGTCTTGCGGAATGTATGCAAACTTTTCTTGAAAGCAATTGATTAGCTTTAGGCCCTTTGGCATAACATCCATTCACCCATATTTGCAGGTTAAGAATAAGATTATTATTGGGGGGGCGGGGTGGGAATCTTTGACTCATTCGGATTGCATGCCTTAGTTTGTTTTAAAGCTACTAAATAATTGTGAAGAGAGTTTAAAAGTACAAAATTCCACCCAGAGTTTATATCAGGCTGATATGCATTGTTGTTATTCATCATGAGTAACAAGCACATGTACTCCATAAAGGAGACCAATAGAAATGTTGATACCAAGCAGATTGCAAACTGTATTTTTGAGTACTTTCATCAAACTCTTATTTGTAAGGTACAAGTGTATCTCCTCACTCCATTCCTCATTCTGTATGTACCATTTGCGTTTTTTTGATCAGTATTTATATTTGACTTTGTAGAGACTTACTGATTAGCGAGGGGGAGTTGGGAGAATAGCAGGGTATTATCAGCAGCTACAAATACAGCTTTGTATATAGTTTTGTGACTTCACTAAAACTCGGGTTTTGCTGAACAGGAATACAGTATTCATAATGTACAGTGTTAAATGTCTAAGATATATATCCTGAAATAGCATTCAGAATTGCTTGCCCATTAAGCTTGGGAAATTAATTTTCTCATTAACTTATTAATCAGAAGATTCCTTCATTTAACTTCCTAAGAAATAGAAATTTGGGCTCCTGAAGTTAGGTGTGTTGGATTGTCATTAGCTGAAGCACAGAGTGCAAATACCTCACTCTCCTTTCCAGAGGAGAATATGCCAAAATGTAGCGCAGCACTGCAGAGCAGTCAGTATTTTGCAGTTTAGATTTGCCCATCCTTACCAGCTGAGTTCCAAAAGGACAGGCTTACAAACTTCTATACTCCTTGGTCTCTTTTTTTACTTTGGAAGATTATACTAACATTCTCTCATTATCAAAGCATATATGCATTTCTCATAAAGGTATGAAGTGTCTGGAATATCTTTCCTCCAAGTATAGTATCAAGTGGGACAATGTTTGGTAGTAGTAATCAAATAATGTGTAGCTATAACAAAACATAGATTGCTACAACTTTTGCAGGATAAAAGATAACTGTTTCCAGTCTGTCCTGTATATGTTCTGTCTACTGAGCATATATCAGTCTGTTTTTATTGAAAAGTAAAGCTAAAAGAACAAATCATTGATTTTTGGTAGTTCACTGAGCATTGAAAAATGCAAATACAGTTCTGCCAGTGGATTTCTGCAAGTAATGGGAGATACAGTCTCAATTACAAGACTTAATGAACAGCAAGTCCCCTCTATTGTGTAACTACAGCTTTTAGAATGGTTGGTTGTAGCCAGTGGTAGCACTAGCTGAGAAAAAATGTCTACTTGTGCTGGGAATGGCTGTGAATAGAATATGGATGTTAATTCTGCATAAAGGCAGAAAGATAGGGCGTAATTTATGCATTCTGTACTGTCTATGATGGTGTGGATTGAGGTTTTTTTTATCAGCTGGGAAAGGCAGAAAAAGTAGAGGCTATGAGATTTTTTTTTTTTTTTTTTAATTAAGATGACCTGTTCCATCATAGCTTTGAGATGTTGGGGAAAGACTCTTTTGACCTAGCTGTTCTAGTTAATATACTACGTACAACAGTGACCAGGCCATTAGGGTATGGGTCCCAGGTGAGAGCTACAAATTTTCTAATGATTCCAGGATGTTCACTGCTCCGTACTTCTCAGTATGGATGTTTACCACACAACTGTTAAATAGTAAGTGACATTGATGGATGTGTCTGTATATATACATGTATGGAGAGATACAGAAATACATGTATCATTCCTTATGGGGCAAATTCACAGCAAGTTTCTTTCACTCATGGATGGTATGTGTGTGAGATCATGGATGGAGGCATGGTACTCCTATCTTTGAATCTTTGGGCAGTTCTTTTATTTCCTGTCATTGGGGTCAAAATTTTTTGTCAGTTGCTGTTCACTATTTTAAAAGATTTAAAAGATCAGATTCCTTCTTATTATTTATAGGAAACAGTTGGGAGCATAGGCTTGGGCACTGCTTAAAAGCTTCATCCATCATGTAACAAGGGAATTTTTTAAGGGTAGTGTCAAAAAAAAAAGTCTGAACAGACTGAATATATATTTGATTATGTAATTTTGCATAGTAAGACATCTATGGTGAAAATAACAGTCTTTTAACAAGCCAATTGTAACAAACTTTTTTTCAAGACTAAGTGCCAGGTGCAGCTATACTGCAAGTATTTTTTCACCTGACACTTTGTTATGCCAATTCTGGACACTTGGGTGCATCTTTTCACTGAAGGAGATGGTGAATTAGAATTAAACCCCTGTTATAGACATTAGTCTTTTATCATTGCAAGAACAGAGGTCCTCTGTCTTTTCAAGACAATTTTTTTAACCCTTTTCTGTTCCCTTCTCTTTCCATGCAATATTCATAGAAAATGGGGGTGGGTGGGGGTTGGGGGTTATGAAATACTTCCAGCTGGGAAAAGGTAATGTTCAGACTGAGCTAATCTCCAAAATGCAGGAAGACATCATGGCATCAGGTCATTAGATGGCATTACTGCATTAGATCTTTACAGTGCTGGTGTAAGTTGATGCATCTCCACTGGCTGTATGCTATTGACTCCAATATTCAGTCTATATAATGTTTAAATGATTGTGGGTGGTGAGTGGGAAATCAAAAGAAAGGTTTGGAAGTATTTTCTAGATTCCTGTGATATTCTTGAACAGAACAAATGTTTAAAGTATACTTCACATTAAGTAGTCAAAGGAGAGACTTCGGGGCGGGGGGGGGCAGAATCTCTTCATGTACTTAACTTTCACTGGGCCCATGCAGAACGGCTCTCATCCTTTTATGAAACATCTTCCCTCAGCTTAAAGGCTGTAAAGTGAGTAATTGATTCTTCATGGTGTTGGGAAAGATAAGGTATTATTCTTCTGGCCTTGGCTTGA